CTTCCCCGACGTCACGCCCCCTCCCTCCCCCTTCCCTGACGCCATGCCCTCCCCTTCCATGAGCCGGCTAGATTTTAAAATCTAGATTGTGTCAATAGGAGCGTAAAAAACCCACCAACATTGTAAAAGCCAACCTCTCTCCCAGGCCTCTCGTTGTTGCTGTGATAAAAACGTGTGTTTATAGACGTTGCAGAAATCTAAAAAATGATGCCATGAAATATATACAATAATATAACAATGTTTGTTTGTTTTGTCCTGAGTGTCGAATACACCTTATTATTTTTATGATTCCAATAAAACTGATTTATAAATCACAAACGACTAAAGGCGTTCATCTTTCACTTTGGGAATGAGTAGAATTTCAGTTTGAATATTATTAGGAGAAATGGAGAAGACTATGAGAAAAGGTCAGAAAAGAAATGTTCTACCTTTTCTTTCAAAATCGTAAGATCATTCGGAGTCGTTTTTAAGATATTCAAAGAATTGCATTCTTAAAAGCTTGACATGTTGTGAAACTCAAAATTGTTGACGCTAAATGTCCCAACACTAGGAACTGAGCTAAAATATAGAACTTTGTAATTTTGGGGAAGAGATTTGTTTGTTTTGGGTTTATTTGTCGCTTTGTTTTTTTTACTGTTTGTTTGTTAGCAAACTGACCAGTACGGTGAACTGTGAACGGACCAGAACAGAGAACAGTGAACTGTCCAGTACGGTGAACGAATCAGTACGGTGAACTAAAGAGAACGGTGACTGTCCAGAACGGTGAACGGACCAATACGGTGAACTGTCCAGTAAGGTGACCTGTCCAGAACGGTGAACTATCCAGAACGGTGAACTGTCCAGAACGGTGAACTGTCCAGTAAGGTGAACTGTCCAGAACGGTGAACTGTCCAGTAAGGTGAACTGTCCAGTAAGGTGAACTGTCCAGTAAGGTGAACTGTCCAGTAAGGTGAACTGACCAGAACTATGAACTGAGCAGTACAGTGAACTGAGCAGTACAGTGAACTAACCATAACTGTGAACTGGCCAGAACGGCGAACTGTCCACCCCCCCCCCCCACACACACACAGGGGCAGGGGAAGGTGAACACATGGACACACTCCCCCCCTCCCCCCAGGACTGTCTGCCACAGACCGCCACACGACCCATGCAACCAACGAGCACGTTAGACTGTCTGCTCTAACGAAGGCCGTCTGGTGCGACTAGGCAGATTATCGTGAGAATTTCATCATCACCATCATTGCTTTCTCACCCTGCACCAGGGTATAGGCCACGGACAAACACCTTCCACCTTTCTCTATCCTGGGCTAGCCTCTTGATGTTATTCCACGTCTTCCCACTTTTCTGTACATCGATTTCTGTGATTCTTCTCCAGGTTCCACACGGTCTTTCCCTTGATCTCTTACTCTGCGGGTTCCAATCCAAAACTTTCTTTGTTATGTAGCTGCCTGACTTCCTGAGAGTATATATATGTATATATAATTGTTGCCCAACACCTGCCACACACGAGCATCCCAAACTTTCTTTGTTATGTAGCTGCCTGACTTCCTGAGAGTATATATATGTATATATAATTGTTGGCCAACACCTGCCACACACGAGCATCCCAAACTTTCTTTGTTATGTAGCTGCCTGACTTCCTGAGAGTATATATA